GTGCCTGGTGTATCGCAAAGGACTCAGATACACTGAGTGCACAGTCGCTCAGTCGTGCCCCGCGCTTCGTGACCCCACGGGCCGTAGCCCGCCAGGCTCCTCTGTCCGTGGGCCTCCTCCAGGCAAGAACACTGGAGTGGGCAGCCATTTCCTTCCGCAGGGGATCTGCCTGACCCCGGGATGGAACCCGGGTCTCCTGCGTGGCAGGCACATTCTCTACCCCTGGCACCACCACTTGGGAAGCCCTTTGCCCTTATAGATTATTACAAGATGCTGAATAGAATTCCCTGTGCTATACAGTAGTCCGTTGTTGGTCATCTACTTTATAAAAAGTAGTATGTATCCGTTAACCCCAAACACCACTCTAAGCGCCATCTCTGAGGGTTGGGCATTCTGAACCCACACGAGTGTGCAGTGCCAGCCACACCTCCAGAGGAGCCCAGGGCCCAGCTCAGCGCAGAGCCCGTGGGAAGGCCTGCTCGGGTGCATAGAGGAGGCGTCTATGAACGCTGCTCCTCAGAGGTGGGGGACTGAGGTTAGTCCTGTGGCTGCCTGGTGACATGATTCACAGAGACTGTCTCGGTGTTTTGAGTCATAGGAAACCTCAGGTGGGCTGTGGGGGCTCAGGAAATGTTTGTGGTATTTTCATCCTGATGACGCAACAGGAACATGATCTATAAATCCTGCTTGCTGGCCTCAAAATGCCAAAGAGGCATTAACATAAGCTTTTCAAAACACACATCAGTGAACCATAGAGGGGTTAAGTAGAAGGAAGTGAGATACAGAAACACATAGGTGTTATTTTATACACAAAGGTGAGAAAGGTTGAAGGGTGGATAGGGGTTTTATTGATTCCTGAGAGTGGAAATCAACAAGGAGCTTATTATACAAGAAGGAAGAAAAGACACATTTTTAAGTTAGCAAAAAAATGGATGAATCCTTGTCTGAGCGCCTTGTGAAGTTATTAGCTAATCACAGCTTTGGCTAACATGGGCAACTTGAATTATCTAGTTGTTTATTGGAAAAAAGTTAAGTGGAGCATGCTTATCTGTTTCTTAATGTGAAAAACAGGTGGTTATGCCGAATTCTCATGAATAGGGAAGAACTATTGAAACTGTGACTGTGGAAGGCAAATCAGATAATAGAGGTGAAAATGTGTAGCCTTCATGGTCTCAGGAAGATAAATGAAAACAATTTTAGTTTGAATTGAACCTAAAGGGTGCAGAAGTTCAAGTTTTGAAAGGGAAATTCTGTGACACAGCCAGAAAGAAAAAGCCAGCATTTAAAACATATATATATATAAAGATACAGTGGGAAGTACATACTATATAAAGGCAATTCCACCAAAGCCGAAGACTCTCTTTGGCTCTCGAGATTCAGAAAGGAATTACAAGAGAAATAAAAAGAAGAAGACAAGACTTCATGCTTACCCATAGTACTAGGTTATATAAAACAATTTATAGTCTAAAGGATTGAGTCTGTGGTGCGGCCGACTCAGCAAAAGCTTGAAATTGGTCAGGCTCGGCTCTGAACCCTGGGAGATCACCCTGTGTTTGCCAGGGTACTGCCAGAAAGACCTCTGACTCGGTGCTCTATGCACGAATACACTTCTCCCGGCTCTGGAGGCTGAGAGTCTAAGATCGAGGGTCCGCAAGGGTGGGTCCTCCTGAGGATCACGTGCAGAGGGTCTGTTCAGGCCTCCCTCCGTGGTTGGTACATAGCCGTCTTCTCCCTGTGTCTTCACACCATCTTCCCTGTGGACACGCCTGTGTCCACATTCCCTCTTTCTATAAGGACATGAGTCAGATGGTTCAGGGCTTACGCTGATGACCTCATTTTAATTTAGTTCCCTCATTAAGGACTTTGTCTCAAAGCATCTGAGATGTTGCAGATTAGGACTTCAAACGTGGATTTCTTGGATACCTGCAACCTACTTTTCTAAGCTCTTTTTTTGGGGGGTGGGGGGGGCTTCCCCGGTGGCTCAGAGTGTAAAGCGTCTGCCTGCAATGCAGGAGACGCGGGTTCGATCCCTGGGTCGGGAAGATCCCCTGGAGAAGGAAATGACAACCCACTCCAGTACTCTTGCCTGGAGAGTCCCATGGACAGAGGAGCCTGGTAGGCTACAGTCCACGGGATCGCAAGGAATCTGACATGACTGAGCAACTTGACTTCCTTTCTTTTTAAGGCAGAGGGTTCTGTTGCAGGTGAAGCTGGCAGAAGCCAGCAGAGGGCGGCAAAGAGCGAGGCAGTTGGGCCTGCAGCCGGACGGGTTCACAGGCACGGGACCACCTGGGCCTGCGCTTCTCTCTAGACCGGTGGTTCTTAAGTTTTGCTCCACACTAGAAACACTTGGGAAACCTTTTAAAACTCCTGACATCCTAGTCAACGTCCAGGTTGATTAAACCAGAATTTCTAGAGCTGGGAGTCAAGCATCAGTGTTCTTTCAAAGGGCCCCTGCCGGCCTAACGTGAAGCCAAGTGCAGGGTAGCTGCTGTGTGTGGAGCAGAGGACAAGAAGTGAGCGGATGTTGGGGCATGTGTCCCCGCCCTCCAGGAGCCCAGAGCCCACCCTCCCCACCAGCGGGGTCTGGGGACACCTTTGAGGGGTGCATCGCTCTTAGGAAGGAGAGAGGGGTAGGTTTAAGGAGGCCCAGACAGCTGCCCGCGAACCCTGATTCCAACGATCAGAGAGAGGTTTTTAAAGAGTCTTGTGGCAGGAGAATTTACAGACCAAAGAATCAAAAGATTATGGAGGGAGGAGAAATTCTGACTCAACTCCCCATAGCTTCGGCTCTTGAGAAAAGAGAATACGGATCTGGAGAGTTTAACGAATCTATGGGGAAAGACAATTGTGATGATGCTATCTGTCCAGAGTCTGCACCCTGAGTATGTAGATTTTTAAAAATTTTAATTGAAGTATAATTAATTTTATAATTATAAAATTATAATATTATTTTATTAAATTTTATAATAATTTAATTTTATAATTAAATCGTGAATTTTCAATGTTCCGTTAGTTTCAGGTGCTCAGCAAACTGCTGTGTGTGCCCTCGGTCGCTTCTGTTGTGTCCAGCTCTCTGCGACCCTGTGGACTGCAGCCTGCCAGGCTCCCCGGTCCATGGGATTCTCCAGGCAAGAATACTGGAGTGGGTTACCATGCCCTCCTCCAGGGGATCTTCCTGACCCAGGTTTTTTTTTTTTTTCTGACCCAGGTTTTAGATATACTTTTTCAGATTCTTCTCCATTGTAGGTTACTATGAAATATTGAGTATAGCTCCCCGAGCTATATAGTAGACCTTTGTTTAATCCTAATCTAATTTATCTTCCTCTCCCTTCCCCTTTGGTAACTATAAATTTGTTTTCTAAGTCTGTGAGTCTGTTTTTGTTTTGTAAATAAGTTTATTTGTACCAGTTTTTAGATTCCACAAGTTGTGTCATATGATATTGGTCCTTCTCTGATTTACTGCAGTTAGTATGATAATTTACTGTAAATGTCATTATTTCATTCTGTTTTATGATTGAGTAGTATTCCATTATATATATGCTTGTCCTGTGAGTTATATATATATATCAGTTCAGTTCAGTTCAGTTGCTCAGTCGTGTCCGACTCTTTGTGACCCCATGGACTGCAGCACGCCAGGCCCCCCTGTGCATCACCAACTCCAGAGCTTGCTCAAACCCACGTCCATTGAGTCTGTGATACCATCCAACCATCTTAAAAATTCTGTAAAGAGATTAATTCACAATGGCAGAGGCACATGGAGAATCCTCACCTCTGTGACTCAGACATATCAGCTTTGCACACTGGGATTACCTGAGGAGTGGTAAAAGTACCAGCACCCACTTCCCCCGCCCGGACAGTCTGGCAGAGAGGCAAGTGGCCTGGACCTCAGGATGTAAACCCGCGGGTGGCTCAGACATGCCACGTGAGAGCCGTGGCCGGCAGGCGAGCACTCCGGCTCGGGCTGGTCTCCGCCTGTGAGTAGGGTTAGCCTCAGAGGACACGCAGTCAAGATGATCAACAGGCCCAGCTGACACTTGTCAAATGGTTTTGATGGGTCTGCACAGTTTGAATCACCTCAGTGGCCTGTCTCTTTGAACCTCACAGTAAGAGATGTATTATCCATTACCCCTATCGGAGTAATGTCTAGAGCCTGTGGTTCTGCAGCAAATTGTAAAAATGGTTGAGTCTTGGCAAAAATATACTGCCTCAAAAACACAGAAGAAAAACTGAACAGCTGAAATGAGTATTAATCATTTTGACAATAAAGTTATAAACCTTATTAAACAGTTTTAAATGATTTCTTATATTCAGTGAGTTTTAGGGCTTTGAAAAATATGCTTACTCTTTCGTAAGGTAAGACTGCCAAAGGGCTGGTGCCTAGGAATGTCTTCGAATGGCCCTGCTCACTGTAACTGTATAAAAAACTATCTATTATTTGTGCATGTTTGGCTGCCCTGGGTCTCCGGTGCTGTGTGCGGGCTTCCTCTGGGCGCAGTGAGGTGGGGCTGCTCTGTCTGGGGAGCGGGGCCTGCTCCTCATTGTGGTGCAGGGGCTTCTCCTTTCTCTGGCTTCTCTTTTGGGGGGCAGAGCTCTAGGCTTCAGTGGTTGCGGCTCATGGACTTAGTTGCCCCGCGGCATGTGGGATCTTCTCAGACCCGTGTTTGCTCCTCTGTCCCCTGCACGGCCAGGCAGCTTCTTATCCCCTGGGCCACCAGGGAAGTCCATGTTCACCATAAGGGCGGAAATGATGGTCAGCCCCACCTTGGAGAGGACACAGTTGAGGCACAGGATTTCAGTAATTGGCTTTAACCTGCTCACAGCAAAGTAAGGGATGAGGAACTCAGTCTGACGTTCTAAGTGAATGTCATGTATGCATCACACACACACACACACACACACACACACACCCATGCTTTATGAAAAACACTTCCCAAGGTCAGTTGTAAAGGATTAGCAGTGTGGGGCTGTCTGAAAGCCTTTCGGAGAATCTGGCTCACCGAAGCCGCTGGCCGGCCTTCGGCAGGACAGGGCAGCTGAGACCAGCTTCCGCGGAGGCCCGTGCAGGCTGCGTTCTAAGGCACCAGGGGGTGGCCAGTGAGGAAGCCTGCGTCAGCACCACCGGTTCACGCAGCCTGGTTGGCAGCCCAGGCCTGGGGACATATTGCCTTAAAGGGGGGGGGGGGGGGGGGGGGGCGGGGCAAGGTACTAAAAGACTCCCCCGGTTCACTTTAAAATTATAACCTCTTAAAAGTTATGTAGGACTTGATGCCTTTGCCTTAAAAAGAAACGGCCCGGAAACCTAGAGCGCCCCTGCAGGTGCAGCTGGACCGGGACCGTGGGGGTGGCGCCTCCTGGCGTCTGTTTCCCACGGACAGGTCCGGACGAGGGGCGTCCTGTGTCCACCGCCGAGGTTTTTGCAGGAGACCCTGAACCTTGACTTAACGTTGGGGGGCCGCATACGCCTGCACAGCAGGCAGGAGGGAGGAAAGACCACGCTGACGTCTTAGCAGACAGCCGTTAGCGCAGCGTCGGCCCGGCTGCGATTCTCTCTCCTCTCCTGCCATCTGGTGGTGAGGTCCGCACACAGGTCCCTGCAAGGGGCCCGGACCCCAGCTGTCGTTTCCGTGGCATTTGTTTTGTGTTCCAGGTCTTTACTACTCAAATCAAGTCAAACTCTCAAGAAACTTGGAAATTTTTGTTTTGTGTTCCAGGTCAAAGTGATAGCTTATGATTATTTTTATACACCAGAGAGTTTCATTTGTGCTAATTAGTTTGCTTCTAAAATATGAGCTAATTCTGTGACGTTGTTAAATAACATGACTGTAAATATGTACAAATCTTTGATTTAAACAGAAGAGAAGGTCAGGACCTGCAATTTGATGGAGCTGGATATTTATTTAAGCCTAGGAATCACTAGTTGCTCTGGTATCAGGTATTGAAAGAAGAAAATACTGTTTAAAATTGTGTTTTGACATGAATACTCTCCATTGAAGCTTGTGGCTGATTCTCTAGTATCATTAGGTCGTTACCATTATCACACCTGGAATTAATGTAATGAATTCAGGTTGACTTATATTATTAAAAATTAAATTAAACCCATATCTCAAATACTCTGATTTTTTTTTTAAATTGCCCTTCCACCAGCCCTGGAGATTTTATACAAAATTCCAGATTTCTACCTTCTCTGAAGAAATAAGAAAATCTGGCAACCATTGGCTTGCTCCTGTAGCCTCCAGCTTCCCCGTAACAGGCTGTATCTCTAGAGCTTTAGCCTTAGGGATCCCAATGAGAAATATTAGTTGCTCAGTTGTATCTAACTCTTTGCTCTGTCCGTGGGATTCTCCAGGAAAGAATACTGAAGTGGGTTGCCATGCCCTTCTCCAGATGAGAAGGGTCATCTCTCTTCCTCCAGAAACTCTGATCAGGCAATTATGCTGCCACTTGAACTCAGGTCAAGTAGCAGAGCAGTGGAGGAAAACTTTGTAACAGAATAATCGAATACCAAATTATAAATAATGACTGGAAGGCCAGAGGAGGAACTTCCCTGGCGGTCCAGTGGCCAAGCCTCTGCTCGCCCAATGCAGGGCCCCTGGTTCAATCCCTGGTCAGAGAACTAGATCCCACTTGCTGCAACCAAGAGTCTGAACGCCACAGCTAAAGACCTGGCGTGCAGCAAGGGGACCGGAGAGCACTCGTGCTGCAGCTGATGCCGGCTGAGACCTGGACAAACGAGTGCGTGCATGCACTTAGCAAGGCCTAATGAGACTCCCCGCTGTTGGAGCCTATCTTCTAGTGAAACCAGCAATTTAAAAAGGAATAGAAAAGTAAAAGGCACACTTGGGAAGAGTTAACTGAACATTTTGATTTACGGAATGTCAACATGTAATTAACTCCTGCTTTTTCTCAACACATAACAGCAACCAGTACACACAAGAAACCTGAACATGATTTGTTGATTCAAGGCTACAGTGACTCCTAAAGGCTTGAAACTTAATTTGAAAATCCTTAGTTGGGAAAAAAAAAAAAAAACATTTAAAAATATCATTATTGTTAGTGAAAAATTTGTGGAAATGCTTGAAAACTATGCCTGCTAAAATAAAAACAAAGAAACTTTGCTCATTAAAGACAAGGAATACAGAATGCTTGAAAATTGTTAGTTTTACCTTATACATGTCATTTTTACCTATTCTGAATTTCCAACTCATTTTCTCAGTCCTAATTGGTCTAAATGGAATTAAAAAAATGTAGCATACGCATGTCCTTGATGGCGTTGGAATAATTGCTACCACTCTTCTTTCTGTGCTATTGGGCAATGTGTTTCTGTAGTGCCTTATTCCAAAGCTCCTAGCTTCTTAAGCAGAAGCTGTTTCTTCAGGTTGAGAGCCAACCGATTGTTTTTCTCCTTCTTACTATCATATAATTTTAGAACTAGAAAAAAAAAATTCATCTACCCTAGGACAAGAAACAGAGACAAAAGGGTCTTGATTTGCCGAATATAAGAGCTAAGAATGGAGTAGGAAATGGCAACCCACTCCGCTGTTCTTGCCTGGAAAATTCCATGGACAGAGGAACCTGGCGGGCTGCAGTCCATGGGGTCGGAAAAAGTTGGACACGACTGAGGATGCACGCGTAAAAACTAAGGAAAGAGAAGTCCCAGATGTTTGGTCTCTATTTCCTGGCCCACTGCCCTTTACAATGTTAAAGGAATTTCAGAAACAAACAGTCTTAATTTCATCATTTACAGGAGTACAAAGTCAGCTTCTAAAATTGGCCCATTTCTCATGAAACTGCTTGGGTGCACACATCTGGCTGCGATTTATAAACTGGTTCCCTAAGATACAGCATCGGCAGCCCAGGAAGGTGGCAGAAACTCTCCTCTAAGAGGGTGACTCTGGGATTGAACACCTTCTTCATCTTTGTGAACACACCGCTGGATCCAGAGATCCCAGCCACCTACCTGGTGAATCCCCCAAATGCCGCAGCCTCCTTCTGGAGCGTGCGGGGGCCAGAGTGCTTGGGGAGACCCATGGCCGGGAGCTGGGAAGGGCATCAGAGATCCTCAGAGTGGTCTGTCTCTGTGGATAAAGGGGGCTCTTGCATATGGGTTATTTTTATATGTTTCTAACTTTTTAAGATTGCCTTTCTCATCTGATGTCCTAAAATAATGTCAAATGAGGATTTTCCAAGTCTCTGGGTTTTGGATTGAGATCAGGGATAGTTTGAAGCCGTGACTTCTTTCACCAAAGCTTACAAAAGCCCTTGGTTTCCACATGCATTTTTGACACTGTGGACAAAAATAATGTTTTAATAAGTAAGACATTAAATGACTTGTCCGCTTCTTCACCGATTTGTTGTTTTTCAGGCTTTTACATATGAATTTAATGCAGTTGAAAGTAGAAAGCAGTCCTTTAGAAAATAGACACAGTTCAGTCAAATACATTGGCTCATGAAAACTTCTGACTCTTCAGGAAGCGCTGAACCAGAGATAGGTATGTTCTCAGCGCGTGTCACTAAAAAGGCTCATGTAAAGCTCCCTGTAGCTATTCAAATGTAGACCTATGTACAATGCAGCTTTTGTTCAGCAGTTTTATTTTAATCTAAAGGTGCGAAGACTTTCAACAACTGTTCTTTATGGGACTACCTGCCACATAATGTTGACAAACCAGGATTTTATTGATACGTAAAAGCCTTTCCAGTCAAACAAACAAGTCTAACTATCTATTTTACGCCTAATATGAATATGACTCTGGTGCTTCCTGGTTCAGGTTCTCTGAGACCTTGCAGGGGCAGATTGCCCCGTGCCTTCTGTGGGATACAGCCTGCTTGGTGCTGCACCCTCCCTCTGCATTTGATGCAGAACTGCGTACTTCCCCCATTCCATCCCACTCCCCTCATCCCTTTATTAAAAAATCAGAGTCGTTTCCCAGTTATGGGCAGCTGGCTTTTATTGCCCTCAGTTCAATGGCTCAGTCATGTCCGACTCTTTGCGACCCCATGGACTGCAGCACGCCAGGCCTCCCTGTCCATCACCAACTCCCAGACCTTGGCCAAACTCATGTCCATGATGTCGGTGATGCCATCCAACCATCTCATCCTCTGTCGTCCCCTTCTCCCCCTGCCTTCGATCTTTCCCAACATCAGGGTCTTTTCCAATGAGTCAGGTCTTTGCATCAGGTGGCCAAAGTATTGGATTTTTTGCAGGTGGTGATAGTAGTAAAGAACCTGCCTGCCAATGCAGAAGACTTGAGATGCAGGTTTGATCCCTGGGTTGGGAAGATCCCCTGGAGGAGGAAATGGCAACCCACTCCAGTATCCTTACCTGGAGCATCCCATGGACGGAGGAGCCTGGTGGGCTACAGTCCATAGGATTGCAAAGAATGGGACATGACTGAAGCAGCTCAGCACAGCACAGCACGGCCCTAGATCCGGAAACCCAGAGAAGCCTTGTGAGAGTCAGCTGCCACGACAGTAAAGATGCTGAGGCCACTGTACTGGAGAGGCCGTGGGAGCCCCGTGGCTGACCCAGCTGGCAGCAGCGGAAACTGCAGCTGCAGGCGCACCTTCTTGAGTGTCCAGGCCGCTGGGGCCCTGAGAAGACCACCGCTTCAAAACTCGGTTACTGCTGTCATGTGAGGATTACCCAGCCCGGAATTGTGCCCAGAGAAAATTCTGTAGGGCGATTGAACGGGATCCTTGTTAAAAGTCGGTGAGGGATCTGGGGAGATGTTGGTGATAAAAATGCATCTTTTAAAAAACAATATTTCTTTACGTCTTTCTGGCTGTGCCAGGTCTTCGTTGCTTTGCGCGGGCTCCTCCTTGCAGTGGCTTCTCGCGTTGCTGAGCACGGGGAGTGGGCGCACGGGCTTCGGGAGTTGCTGCCCTCGGGCTGAGTTGCCCCCCGACATGTGGAGTCCTCCTGCCTCAGATAGCGAACCCGCGTCCCGTGCACTGGCAGGCAGACTCTTAGCCACTGCACCCCCAGGGAAGCCCCCCAAATACTTCCGCCTTATAAACCCATGATAGTTTCATGTGTAGCTTGCGTGTCTGCCTTTTAAAGCAGAGTCGGCGGGACTCGCCTTCCTCTCAGGCTCTCTCTTCTCCCTCCTACCCCTTGGCGCAAACCCGTCATCAGAGCGTCTGTTGTCGTGGCGTGGCTTCGGCTTTTCTTTAAGGTGTCTCTCTAACCAAATTGCCACGTGAATGTTTAAGTTTGTGAACTATTCATGATACACAAGAAAAGATTAAAGCTTTCGTTCGCTTCTACTTCCTTCCGAGGTCTGGCTTATACACAATAAAAGCGCACGCTTCTTTTTTTAGAATTCGTTTTTAAGTGGAGGATAATTGCTTTACGATGTTGTGTTGCTTTCTGCCATCCAGCAGCGTAATTCGCCGAAAGTGTACGCACACCCCCTCCCTCCTGGTCCTCCCGCCCGCCCCCACCCCATCTCTCCTGCTCCGGAGAGCCCTGAGCTGAGCTCCCTGCCTTATGCAGCAGAGAGTGCACAATTCTTGGGTGCACTTGAGTTCATAGCTTGATGAGTCTTTTTCTAATTCATCTTGTGACCACTCATTTCGAAGCTGAGAACATTCCCTGCACCATGGATGGCTCAATCCTGCTCCCCCATCCCTGTTAATATCTCTCTTCACAACAATCACTAATTTAACCTCAATTTTCATCAAATAATTTTGTCAAATTTTACATTGCATAGAATGGAATAATACAGTAAGTTCTATTTTGTGTTTAGCTCAACATGCAGATGAAATTTATCTATGTTTTTACATGAACAAAAAAAAATGTTATTTTAAAGCATAGTCCTGAACTTGGCAAGGAATGAGTTATCTTTAGGAATAAAAATTTCACATTCACCCCTTGAAACTATTCATTTCCCATAAACATACTTCATATACATGTTCTACACAGTTCTTCGTGTCATTTCTGAATAGTTTTATTCTGTTTGTTACATCCATGATTCATTTGGACAGACTGCTCATAATATATAATTACAGAATCAAGCTCTGACTCCACTTTGTGGTGCTAGCAGAAAAAACAGTGATGCTCTAGATTTTAGCAGGGAGCATAAAAGAGCCCTGGGAACTGAAAGTCTCACAAGTCCAGAGCAAGGGCTTCCTGGTACCCTAAGGGTGAAAGGAAGTCATTTGTTTCTGCTTTGCTGGTGTCATCATATGGTTCGATGTCTTCAGGGGAACGGTGTGTTGACTGTCTCTCAGGGTCAGGTCATGGAATATTTTTGCTTTAATTACTACAGACAAGTAGGAGGAAGTGAGAAAGCCTAAAATACAGGAGAACGAAATTTAACTGCTCCATAATATGGCAAACATGATTCTTCTATTGCAGTGAAGACCTGGTGCGGATACTGTGGATGCTGGGTTATCAGGGTCTGATGCCATTCAGCATCCAACCTATATGACTGATGGTTTTTCCTCTTCCCATGCTAATCAAGAAATATCTGACTACAGATTGGCAATGCACCCATTTTCCTTGACGGATATATAGGTCTTGGCAAATGAGTTAATTAGTATAGAAACTATATGCACCAGCCTTTGTGAGCCTTGTGCAGTGGAGTTTGTATCCTTGGTTAGAACAACCTTGTTGCACTGGAGCTTTCACGTCTGCTAGGCTGAGGGTGTGTCACTAAGAGAAGGGTGTCCACTTTTCCCAGGTAAGACCCTGCTGAAGCATAACGTGTGCCTCACATTCCTCCATCAGGACTAAAGGATTTATTCACCCGGCCATCGGGAAGGTTGTCATCCATCACCTATCTTAGGAATTGTCTCTGCTGAAGAGAGTCACCTTGCCTAAGTGAGCCCACAATCAATGACCGGTCAATGTCATAGAAGAAAGACCCTTCACCATATTATATTGTATGTAGACTATCTCTTGTCCTAACTGGGAGAAATTCTGAAGGTCCATCCAGTTCCAGAGCTCCCCATGAGGTCAGTGGGGGCCTTTGTTGGGACTGCATTATAGTCCAACTCTTCCACACAATCCCGTTTGTTGGCCTTCCCACAGCCGTGGACCCCAAGAGCATCCCTAAGAAATGTCTTATGTACCATATCAGAATCTATTTCCTGAGAATGTTAACCTTCAACCTGTCCCCTCTTTAATGGAATGAATTGTAACCCCTTCAAAGTTCATATGCTGAAGCCCTAAGCCTTGGTGTGACTGCCTCTGGAGCCAGCACCTTGAACAGGCATTGGATAATGAAGTCATAAGGGTGGGGTCCTAACCCTATAGGATTGGCGGCCTTATAAGAAGAGAAAGAAAGAGACCTCTCCACCTGCTCTGCCCCCTCAACCCAAGAGCACACAATCGGGAAAGCCCAGGTGAGCACACAGCAAAAAGACAGCTGTCTGCAAGCCAGGAAAACCGTTTTCACCAGCACCCACCCATGCTGGCAACCTGACCTCAGACTTCCAGCCTCCAGAACGTGAGAAAACAATTCTGTCTGAGCCAGCAGGTCTGCAGTCTATGGTGTTTTGTTATGGCAAAATACTAGCTCTTCATGTTTCCAGGGTCTCAAACTCTGAGAGCGATTAAAAGTCTATTCATCGTACTTTATGTCCCCAGCTCTTTTACTTTTTAATAAGCAAATTGCTTTCATTCCTGATAGTGGTAATTTGTGTTCTCTTTATTTATAGGCAGGGGTTTATTAAGTTTTTTTCATCTTTTTGAAGTAGCAACTTGTGACTTTGCTAATTTTCCCACTATTTTTCTGTTTTCTATTTCATTAATTCCGTTATTCTTTTAAAGCATTTTCCCCTCCTACCTTAGGTTCACTCTGCTTTTCTTTTTTCTAGCTTCTTAAGGTAGCACTTCACATCCTTGAATTTAAATCTGCCTTCATTTCAAATACAAACATTTACTGCTCAAAATTTCCCTCTAAGCACTGAAAATGCTTTCTTCATGTTCGATGTGAGGTACATTAATCATAGGGCTTCCTTGGTGGCTCAGTGGCAAAGAATTTGCCTGACAACGCAGGAGACTTGGGTTCAGTCCCTGATCCGGG